GGATATCTACTTCTATTTCGGTAGGAGTAGAGGTTTTTTCCGGTGTAGGTAGGGTTTGAAGAGTATCGAAGCGTGTTCTAAGGGGTAGTATAGATAGCCTAGGAATAGGCGTTGAGATTTCTTCCCGTAGGCGTTAGTAGACTCTTTAGTTAAAGATAATTTTTATTGTTTGAAACTAGTAGCGGAAGGTGTTTTTAGTTGGTTTAATTCTAAAGCGAATTTTATGAGAAACTTAGTTTTAGACTATAGGGGTAAGTTGGCCGAAGATATAGTATTCGAGGAGAAAAGTAGGGGGTTTAAGAACCCGGACTTGTGTTTTTACTATAGTATTTACCCGAGATGTGTTATTCTAGGCTAGGAAGTCTGCCTAGGATAGAGATAGGATAGGGTCTATACGGTGTCTTGGCGGGGAACGCCGAAAATTTTATCTACTAGGGGAACCGGTAGGGAGGTTTTTACCCGTAGTTAATATAATAACTAAGGCCTACGGCCTAGTATAAGTTAGTCTGTAAAGTAAGTAGGCTGTACTGATTCGTTTAATAGTATTTTCGAGGTTCTAGGGGCGCTAGTTATAGCGATCCTATTAGTGCGAGAGGGAATTATCCCTAGCGGGATAGTAATAGAGCTAAAGAATCTCGTCTAGTAGCTAGGAATATTCTTCGATCCTTATCTTATCTTTAAGAACTACGTCTCTATAAGGCTAAGCTAAGTAAAATCAGCCTTCTACCGGCTCTCTAGACTCGTAAATATAGAGAGGGGACTATCTCTATATATAGTACGCTAACTATACTTAGCTTACGTTAACTCTATAGCGGACTACGGTAGCCTAATCTATTAGAAAAACTAGAGTAACTATCTAAAGCAAGCCCGCGCGGTTTAGAATCTCGCCCTAAGGAAGATTCTTAGAGTCTTTAAAACCGCCCTAATAACTACTCTAGAACTAGAAGCCGCGATCCTACCCCCGGACGTACGTTTAAATGCTAATTTCCGGAATTACGTACTAAGAACGTTAAAACTTGCTAACGACTACCCTATTAAGTAGATACTTAGTAGGGTAGAACTAGATGATTTAGAGAGACCCCCTAGCACCTACGCGGAAAGACTAAAGGAGTTCTTAAACTAAACCCTCCCTGTTCTTAACGAGGAGTTAGAACCCTTCTACTTTTCGCTATAGTAAAAGGAAACCCTATACTACGTTAAGATCTCTAGTCTATCTAAGGAAGAAGAAGCTAAATAATATACTTCCTTCCTAAAGAATTCCTCCCCGAACCTTATTACTATCTACACCGACGCCAGCTCTATCCCAAAGGGTAAAGGAGTTAGTATAGGCGTTCTAGTAGATAAAGGCAGCTAATCCCTAGGAGAAATCCTTTAAATTATTAAAAACATAGGGCCGAACTAACTAGTTTACAACGGAGAGCTAGAAGCTATTATAATAGCCCTAGAACTCGTAGTTATAAACTAGTACTCCT